TACACATACACACTCATGAATATATGACATACACATACACACTCATGAATATATGACATACACATACACACTCATGAATATATGACATACACATACACACTCATACACACTCATGAATATATGACACAAACATACACACTCATGAATATATGACATACACACACTCTTTTCATGAATAGATAACACGCCCATGCAGCCTACCTGCTTGACCTTGACTGATACGCTCATGAATATATGACATACACACACACACTCATACACACTCATGAATATATGACATGCAAACACACACTCCTACACACTCATGAATATATGACATACACACACACACACATGAATATATAACACGCACATGCAGCCTACCTGCTTGACCTTGACTGGGACGCTCATGAATATATGACATACACACGCACACACATGAATATATAACACGCACATGCAGCCTACCTGCTTGACCTTGACTGAGACGCGCACTGAGTTGATGGACCCTTCAATCAGCACACCCTCTTTCTCATTGCGAGAGATGTACAGTGGTGTGCACACGAGCTCTTTGCTCGTCCTGCGATGCGATTGGACGAGAGTTAAACAAGAGAGTAAGTACAGATGTCTTGCGGTTAAAATCAGAGCAGAGAGTAGGCGAGTTGGGATTAAATCCGGCGTGTGTACAGTAAAGTGAGCTGTAGCGAATTGAATTGTACCTTCCAAACCCTAAACCCTGAAACGCACTTCGCCAGTGATGTGCTACAAGCGAATGAAAACGGAAAAGACACGCACAAGATACAAGCGAATGAGGACGTGCGCACAGGCCACAACCCTCCCAAATGCACGCGTTTAAAACATATGACCAACAACTAACTGTTTAGGGTTTTAGGGTTTTGAGGTTGTGCATCACTTACTGTACTAAGGCTATTGCTGCATACATTACTTACTATGCACATCACTTAGGTTTAGAGTTTTAGATTTACGTACTATACACATCGCTTAGGTTTGGGGTTTTAGGTTAATTTACTATACACATCACTTAGGGTTTTAGGGCTATACATCACTTACTGTACTTCAACCTCAGGTTTGTTGTGGCGTTCGACAATTTGTGACGAGAAATTGGTCAGACACACTGCGGCGTTCAACGACGATCGCACAGCGTCTAAGTAGGGCCTCAGAGTCATCGCCTGCAGCACAGGCACACGATGGTTAATAAACGGGTAGAGACCAGATCATATACACACCATACAGACTGTATATGTATTAGGTATGTATTATGTGCAAAGAAAGGAGACGGATGGTAGTAGCATATACGGAAAGCGAATCGTAAGTACACACATCAAGCAGTCAACACGCCAATATTTGAACATTACTATACTTGGTTACGAATTAAAAGGAAACATTTGCAAACATGTATCAATATAAACATAAAAATGAACACACACACATATATATATATAAAACACACACACACACAC